CACACACACACACACACACACACACACACATACACATACTGACAAATGGGTATTGTTTTAAACTACGTGTATACTGTTCAATACAGGGAAAATAAACTCTCACTTTATATCCCTCCTCCTCCTCCCAGCACACACTCAAACACACACACGCACACACACACATACACACACACACACGCACTCACCCACGTACGCACACACATACAAACACACAAAAAACAACACTCACACAAACATACTTACAGACTTGTGTTATTTTAGTCGATAAATTGTTCAATGAAGGGAAAAGAAAATTGGCGAAAGGGATAATAACACTCAGGATAAGATCTAGATGAGACTACCAAAGCGGAATGAAGGATTATATCATCATCATCATCATCATCATCATCATCATCATCATCATCATCATCATCATCATCATCATCATCATCAGCAAGTGTCAGGTCTGAAATAGAAATCTGCAATCATGGCTCGCCACTAATTTCTCTGCCCAGATGCTTTCAGAAAAACTTAATTATCTTGGTCTTCCCCTGTCTACCATCTTTTTAAAGTATCTAAATAAGCTGTTGTTGGTCCTTTCCCGCCTCCTGTGCCCTATATTTTAACAGTTAGAGCAAGATGTTCAATGGCTTTTTGACGATTGAAGTGCCCCTAAAACTGTATGCATCTCTCTCTAAGGAGTTATTTTAGATCAGTTACCCTACCCATGCGGAGTTCTTTCACAAATGCCCCTTTTGTTTTCTAATCCTTCCTTGAAATGTTTACAATAAATGTTCTAAACAACCATAGTTCTGTTGCTTTAAGTTTATTTTCATTATTTATAGTAATAGTCCTGCATTTTCACTTTCATAGAAGGTTTGAGCATTTATAACCTTGTAAAACGCTTATTTCTTTTGTCTTTGAGATGAGGTGCTCCTGTTTTTTAGAACTGGAGTCGTTTTATTGAATTGAACCCTTTAGCTGTTTATTTATTTTTCATTCTAATTAGCAGCAATATGATGGCTTATTTATTTTCTTTTTTGTATTGTGATTTCGGATTACGCTGACCAGGCTTCGCATTTTTCTCTACCACACAGGACGCCTCTGACCGTCTTGGACATGTGACCACCGGATAGCTCAACCCTCATTGGCCTCATCCCCTGTCCCACATCCTTGCCAGCGATCGTCCAATTGTTGCTGCGTCTGCTGAAATGACGTATTTATGAACTTTGTGTTTAATACACTCGTGGTATTGGTCTTTCTGTCTCCATCGTTCCACATGCAACTGAGGGAAGGACACCATCCTCCTCACATTCTCCTTACAAATTATGCTTACAACAGAAATCATGGGACACATTTGTGTTAACCGTTGTTCTCAACTGAACATTTTATTTTCGAGGATATCAGAGGACTACACAGTAATAAAAAAAACGGCCCTGTGCGTCTGATGAGCATGTAATCCCCATGACCTGAAATGTGTCGATGGAAGTGTAAAAAGTGTTCTTTCACGATGAGCATGTTTGGTTCATCGGGAATGCAGGACTCGTGTTTTTAAAAGTTCAGTACCAAGTACTTTGTAGAATTCTACGATCAGGGCACTACCCAGGGAATTATTAGCTGAGTTTCACGATGAATACCATGACCAGTGCTTGTCAACCTCTTTATAGACAACGCCCACTTTTGTTCACTTTAAGCGACTAACATTTTCGTACCGCTTACGTATGTGTATTTCCAAGCGGGTCATTAAATAATACATGGCGATCCCCACCACACACCAAAATTACCAAAATCGCCCACAAGTGGGCAAAACTGTCCTAGTTGGCAAGCACTGATAAAGACATATGATGATTATGTATTCATTATTGGCAGTTCGACAGCTTTCATGGGCGCCAACAGCTCTAACCTTTTCCTCGGGGAGATACGTTTAGTGAGCTGAATAGTGTCAAAATATTCCCGGAGCCATGAGTGACAAACGAGAGCCATAGAGATGGCGACGACATTAATTTATGTGGTTTTGTTCTAATCACGGTCTGACCTCTTTGTGTGTACATGTCCACAACTGCGCAAGGAACATCGATGTTTCACTTTTGTTCAATACTAACAATACAGTGTCATGTCATTTTGCTCTCTGGTTGAGGATGGTACTGAAAAGAGAACCTGAAGAAGATTTTTTTAAGGAGCAGGGAGGGGATTTTGGGAAATCCAAATCTTTCAACCTAATCTAAGTTGTGTGCAATGAAAATATTTGAGAGTTCTCAGTATTGCAAATCTCAAAGTTTGTTATAATAATATAGTGGAATAACGAGAAGGATATCATGCTGTTGAATATTGCCGGAACTGCCACAAGTGTTGGTCTTGGCTGTGCAAAGGGGTGGGTGCAGACGGGAGTAGAAGGAAGCTCTGAAGACCGGGGACTACAATACCTGTCTGGGCCGGAGTGTGCGCGAGTGACTACATCAGCAATATTGATAGAGAAGGTGAGGAGAGACAGATGAAAAGAGAGGAAGGAAATGGCGAGAGCATCGGCTCCGCACGTTCCAGCTACCGGCCGACAGACAGACGAGGGCCAGCAATCACCGTGCGCACCGATGAGTCATCGCTATTGATTGGTTGTTGAGCCGGACGCGCCCCCCACGTGACCAAGACTAGAGGGGGAGAGGGACCAATCAGCGGCCGATGCTGACTTCGCTTCCGATGCTCGCCACTGAGGCACGAGGAGAACTCGTCTCATCTCCCTCCTCTTCCCTCTCCTGCCTCCCTTTCCCCTCCCCACCCCTCCCCTTCCTCTGTTCACTACGGTCGTCGGATCCGTCGATAATGCTTTCACCTGCATCAAAGTGAGGGTCGGGAGAAAGACTACACACCTGTCGAGTCGTTTTCTCTGTCATCGCTCCTGGTCTCTACATGGCCTGTGACCGCCAACTTTCATCTGGTGCTATGTTGGAAGTGTGTCTCTGAACTCTATTCTGGTTTACCCATATCTATTTTTTTTTTTTCGAATATTATGATAACAATTAGGAGAAAGCTTTTTCCAGCTCCTCATTCATTGAAAAGCTATTTTTATTTTCGACCTGCTATGAAAAAGAGGGTAATTTGTAAACGTGTAGTTTGTGTAATTTTCTCATATAATAATAGCGTGTATAATTAATTGCAGGGTTGTTGTTGTTGTTGTTTGGGATTTTTTGTGTGTGTAACAATGGCATCTGCCGTCAATGGCATCTGCCACGAACAAGTTATGTTAAGGAAACGACTACAGTAAAAATTAAATATTTGACTCTCTCTCTCTCTCTCTCTCTCTCTCTCTCTCTCTCTCTCTCTCTCTCTCTCTCTCTCTCTCTCTCTCTCCCCCGTCTGGCGTTCGTTTAGCGTAAGCAAAGATAT